ATGCTGATTGACGTCCCCATGGCATTACAGAGCATGACTCAGCAAGTTTATGGGTGTCCACACACACACACACACCCACACACACACACACACACAGGTCTGGTTTCTACACCCCCGTGGGGACCATGTATTGACTTCCATTCATTTTTTTGGAAATTTTCTAGCCTAACCCTGACCATTTACCCTAAAATTAACCTCACAGGTACCTACCTGACCCTAAAACGAACCTAAACTCAATTCACACCTTGGTCCTAAACCCAACCCCCCACCCGTAATTTGCATTTGGACCCGTGGGTCCAAAATGATTGGGCATTGGTCCCCACGGTGCACGTTTGATCCCCACAAGGCTGCTTTTTTTGGGGAAAAATTGTCCCCACGGTGTAGGAAAAACAAGGCCACACATAGACACACACTCCTGCCAGAACTCCTTAAACTTTTTGTCCCCATCAGATCCCCACCGTTTCACAACCACCTTTTCTCTCTCTCTCTGTCTTTTTTCTGGTTGCAGGAGGATACTTGAGTTTCTCTCCTCGTTTGGCTGCAGCTTGCCTTATCAGTCTGTGTTCGTTAACTCTGGGACACTTTATTTCTCTCCTCAGCGTCCAGAAAACTGTTTTTTAAAACTTATATCTAGCTGGTATTCCTTCAACACTTTTATAAATCTCAGGTAAACAAAACATAAATCCCTCTTGTGTGACTCGCTTGTGTCTGACTTTCCCGCTAATTGTTTTGGAGTTCGTCTTGTTGTGGCTGTTTTTTTGTGCAGCCTGGCCCCTCGGTATGCACATGGGTCCCCGTCCCAAATCCCATTAAATCTCCCTCACCTCTGTCTCACCTCCTGCTGCTGAGAGGAATTACCTCACTCTGCTGCAAGGACCTTTTTCTCACATTCATTACTTCCAAAGACACAGGTGGACTTTTCATTGTCTGCTGCCCTTCACCTTGTCATACATCAACTTCTTATTTAATAAAATCTCACAGAAAAAGTAGAAAAACTCAAACAAAAACCACACATTTCATTTGTTCATTTGTCTAAAACTTAATCCAAGTGAAACAATAAACAAAGGATCCTTTACACACTATAAAATGCTGCTTCCTGAAATATTTAAACATAATTTAAACTTTTTTGATTAAATGTAACTAAAGACAGTTTTTCAACTGATTCTTCATTTGTTTTGGTTTGGACGAATAAAAGATCAAGACTTGGTTTTGTCTAAAACCTAATAAGCAATATGTAGTTAAAGATTATTAAAACAGTGTTGTGCTTTTATTAATAAAGACTTGATTTTATCTATTTAGTGACTTTAATTACTAGAGAAATAAAAACACAAATAAAAATGTATAACATTGCTTAAATGCACATTGCCTGCTGCTTTTCATCCTGCCTTTTTTAAACTGAATCATCTCGTACTGAGAAGGAATGGATGTAAAAATGTTTTACAACATCGTATACTTTCACTCTCAGAGAATGTGTTGTAAATGACTTTCAGCTGTGACCACATCCAATTTTATCCCGATATTTGCAAAATTGACCGATCTAGGGCCATTTTTGTGTTTGCTAATGTTGCTAATAGCGTCCCTTTTAAACAGAACTAACTCCAGAAGTTAATCACCCATAGACGCGCATCCATCGACTACTTCCTGTGAGTTTCATTCACATCAGTTCACCGATTATCAAGATATTTTGCTAACAGACAAACAAGGTTGATTCCAACAGTTACTGCCATTTATTTAAGTAAAATGTTTCATAATTTTTAGCACTCAAAGCTCATGTGTTAGAGCTGATGCTCAGCTACTACCACTCCTAATATTATTATAACATCTGTAAAACTGGCTGTGTTATCAGCATTTTAATGATTTGTAAAGTGACTTTGCGTGACTCCAAACTTTAATTAGTTGGAGATGTGCACCTCGTGTTTATTTCTTGTAGGTTTCATTAAAATTCATCCAGTGGTTCATGTGATGTCTTGGTAACAGATACAGAAAGTTTGTGGTGGTTTAATAATTTCCTGTTTCACACAGACTTGTTTGTTTGTTTGTTTGTTTGTTTGTTTGTTTGTTTGTTTGTTTGTTTGTACCCATATTTCTGCCTTTTCTTAATTAGCACAATATTCAAAACTTTGATCAACAAGTTTGCATAAAACCAAACGAGCATCATCAATGAAAGCGGTCCAACAGAGCCGCAGTAATAAAGGTTTGGGTTACCTGTCTCTGTGAGCCCTCTGCGCTGTCAGAGCCCGGGCCTGGACCTTCAGAGGCAGGAGGCCCAGCAGCAGGCACAGCCACACCAGAGGGGGGGCACACATGGTGATGGAGGCGACCCGAAAGATTAAAACTCTACAAATGTTAAGAGGTGAAACTAAAAGGTCCAGGACGTCTAATGTTGGCTCTGAATGGTGGAAAATCTCTAAAAGGCGAAGGACGGCATCATCAGGTGCTCCGTTTGCTCCTGAACCCACTCTGAAACCCTGACTGGAGCGCACACTGGGAGCAGCTGGACTTTTCTCATTTATAAAGTCCTGCTGACGGAGGAGGAGGAGGAGGAGGAGGAGGAAGGCTTATTCTCTGCCCTTCTCAACAACCTAACCTCCAAGAAACTCACGAGTTAATTAAACCTCGACAGTCCACTCGTTTAATCTTCGGTTTAGAACTAAACCATATCTTGTTGTTTTGGGTGTTTTTCCGTGTGAGGTAACAAAGTTTACAGGTGACTTTTTAGGATTATTTTCCTCATGGTGAACTCATGGTTCCCAGAAGGAGATTAATTCACTGACATAGGCTGCTGAAGCCATCATTTACACAGCAAAGTCCCAATTAAAGCCTCCTGCTTTCACTCATATTTTTCACACAACAAAGCCTTCATCATGTAGATCTAAGGATGAGGAGCTGAAAGTGTTGACGTAGGCTTCGACATGGTGTCTTATTCATGTCTGAAGACTAACTAAACTACCCTTCTTGACCTCCTTTTTCCTCTTTTAAAGGGAGACAAACTTCTTTTAATTGTGGCAAAAAATGTTTTGGGTGAACTTCTCATTTTTTACATTGCAGCTTTTAAATTACTATGACTTGACAATGAATTTGTCACTACTTTGTTTAATTTGAACTGTTTTCTTGTTCTTTTTATTCTGTGTTTTACAATAACTACTTCTGATTCTTTTAATTCATTCATAATCAAAACATTCAGCTCATTCAGGAGATGGTGGGATGGCTTTATTTTTGTCTGTTTCTTTTATACTTTTCAAACTATTTTACTTTTTTGACAATATTTTCCTTGTAGAAATACATGGAAATCTCTTCAATTCTTTCAAAAATATCTTTGGAATTTGCTTCAACAAACTTGTTTTATCATCGGTTGTTTTTAGCTTTTAGCTACCATTCTGCTACTTTTGGTTGGTTTTAGCCTATAGACAGCCTTTTGATACTTTTAGCTAGTTTTTTTTTTCCAATTTTTAGCTCTTAGCTATCCTTTATCAGTGTGCATTGCCAATGCAATGCACACTATTGTGATTCGTTTCCCATCCAAGTCATCTCCACTTTGCCATGCTTCTCCTCCTGCATACTTTGTCCTAGAGCTGCCATTGTAATTTATATCTGTAAAGCCCCTGCGCCAAATGATGGCTATGCCTTTTGGTGCCTGTAAAACTTATAGTTTTTGAAATATTAATGTTTAATAAATTATAATGACAGTCAATGGAGCCTTGTATTGGTCCAATACTGCCCCCAGCTGTACTCAACTTGGTACTGCACCGTAGTTTTTTATATTTATTCTCAATAGTTCAGTGTTTACAATACTAATATGATTGTATGTTGATGTTTTACTATATCATTATCTTAATACTGCTCTATTGTTGTAATATYWTGCAKTTTWGTGTCAATAATTGTATTGGCAATGTGGCCTYKTTCTGCACACATACAAACCAACCCCTGCCACCACCTTCTACCACAGCTCCATTGTTCTAATGGTCTATGTCATGGACTTTCATGTGAGACATCAGGGTTTAAAACCCAGCTAAGGCAACTTTAACAAAAAATCTCTTCAAATTTCATATTGTCACACAATTACCTTAAGTACAAACACCTGCTGACGTGAYAGGCACAAGCTGKTATAGAAAACACATTTGAGCTTGGTCAAAGTTCATTCTGAAAGTCCAATGCTCCTGCCTACATTGTCCTACAGCTGCCATTGTAATTTCTATCTGTAAAGGTCCTGTGCCAAATGATTGCAATGCCATTTGGTACCTGTACAACTTGTAGTTTTTGAAATATTAACGTTGAAACTTTATTCCAAATTCATAAAATGAGAGTCAATGGGGCCTTGTAATGGTCCAATACTGCCCCCAGCTGTACTCAACTTGGTACTGCACCGTAGTTTTTTATATTTATTCTCAATAGTTCAGTGTTTACAATACTAATATGATTGTATGTTGATGTTTTACTATATCATTATCTTAATACTGCTCTATTGTTGTAATATTATGCATTTTTGTGTCAATAATTGTATTGGCAATGTGGCCTTTTTCTGCACACATACAAACCAACCCCTGCCACCACCTTCTACCACAGCTCCATTGTTCTAATGGTCTATGTCATGGACTTTCATGTGAGACATCAGGGTTTAAAACCCAGCTAAGGCAACTTTAACAAAAAATCTCTTCAAATTTCATATTGTCACACAATTACCTTAAGTACAAACACCTGCTGACGTGACAGGCACAAGCTGTTATAGAAAACACAATTGAACTTGGTCAAAGTTCCTTCTGCAAGTCCAATGCTGCAGGCAAAGCCATGCAATGACATGCTACATGGCAATGCACACTTGTTTTTACATTGTAAAAACCCAGGTCTAGTTACTTTTTGCCTTTAGCTAGCTTTTAATGTTTGTATTTAACTACTACTTTTGGCTAATATTTAGCTATTTTTAGATTTTGGGCAACATTAGCTACTTTTAACCTTTATCCTTTTGTTGCTTTTAGCTTTCAGCTAGCCCCTTGAAGCTTTTAGCTAACCTTTTGCTAGTTTTAGCATTTGCTACTTTAAATTTGTAGTTAGATACCCTTTATTTTACTTTTTTCTATCTAGCCTTTTCAACTTTTATCTAGCTTTTTGATTTGTTTAGCTAGCATTTTTGCACCTTTTAGCTCGTATTCTGCTTCTTTTAGCTTTAACAAATCAGTTTCAGTTTCTTCAGCGCTCAGTATTAACTGTTTTTCACAATAAACAAATAAATAAAGTAATTCTCCAGCCACATTCCAGACCAGCACCAATAACTTATAACCACATCTTATTCCTGCAGTTTGGAAAATGATTCAAAACTAAAATTATAGTTGACAAAAATCAACCTGGATTTAAAATAAGCTACTAAATATGAGCCTTGTAAAATGCTACTGAAGTCTGGAGAAACTCAAAATAAAAGCCTGTCAAGCTTTAAAATGTGTGGATGATTGCAGGAAAATGGCCTGAAACTGATTTTCCATAACAAGGTCACACTAAAACTAAAATATGAAAATATGACACCCTCTTAATATAAACATTACTTTATATTACGAGTCTATCTGAACAGAGTCAAAGCTGTCTGTCTGTGCACTTTCATTTCTTTTTTTTAAATGCTTCCCTCTCAGGGATAAACAAACCTTTATTACATTCATAAAGTGAACGGACAAAGCTGACATTTGAACAGGTCTCCTTAAAACTAGAAAAATCAAATCACCCCTACACCCAGCAGTTTTAGCTGACTGTGCAGCCACTTTGCTTTATTCAAACTCAAACTTTTTGGAATCAAAAAGGAAGATCTGCAGACATCAGGACAAATTTCTCCTCCTGCTCTGGTGTCGACTAAAAATAATGAAAAGTCAGAGGATTCACTGATGATCGTGTTCTCATTTTATCTTGAAAGAGAACTTTCCTCTGAGGAGGAAGACACAGAATCTGAACCTAATTAAATGACTCATCTGTATGAGGAGGTGGCTTCAGCTCTTAATTAAAGGTGTGTGTGTGTGTGTGTGTGTGTGTGTGTGTGTGTGTGTGTGTGTGTGTGTGTGACTCAGCAGTTTGCAGAATTACAGTCTAAGCTCAGTTTGCAGCTCAGCTCAGTCCAACAGGTGCATTAACACATCTTTAGTCCTCTCAAAGAACAAACCTCTGAGTGTGTGTGAGTGAGACTGTGTGTATTTTCAAACCATCCAGATTTATTTTCTCTCCATCTGAGCCTTTAGCAGAGAGAGAGAAAAATGTAGTTTCAATTTCATTCATTGTGTTTCAACCTAAAATTAGATTAGAAACTTAACATCCTGGAAGTATAATCTCTGGAACCACCGGCAATTAACTTTCATTTTTCATCTTATCCCTTTTATTTAAGGCTGATTTTGTTCTGTAAGTTAAAAAAAATCCAGCTGTTCACATTAAATTCAAACTAAAGGTGTATTTATATTGTACTGAAGCCAAGATGTCTTTACATCAGAAACAAACTAAATTATTATTGACAGAAAAAGGCAGTTGGTTTAAGTAAAATAATAGTTCTGCAAACATACTTGATTTGGTGGTTTTCTCTCATTATCAGTGAGGATCTCTTCTCTGCAGTTTACAGGGTTTTTTTGATGCCTCTCTGTGTTTCTCCAATCACTTTATATTGGTGTTTTTGAAAATAATATATTTAGCAAAATAATTTTAACAGACACACAAAAAATAACCCAGGTGAAACAGGAAGTGACATTAAAGGGTAATTCACTTTGTTAATTGAAGCCATATTTAACTGTTCATCAGCCTCTGATGGTGACTCACAATAATCTAAAGAAACATCAGATTCTTCTCTGTCTGCTGTCAACCATTAAAACAATGCTTTATGTGCTGTTATTCCCCTTTGACATCACTTCCTGTTGCTGCACATGCACGTTAACTGCAGTTTGATTTATTTATTTATTGCAATTCACGATTGTTACCATTCTAAAAAGGCATTCATGTTTATTACAAAGATTTTATGTCACAGGCACTTTAAGAAACAATAGAAACAGATTATTCACCCAAAGTGGTGAGAACTTTAAAAAACCGTCCTCGTCAGTTTGTGTGAGACCTGCCGAACAGGGACTTGTGACTCAAAAATAGTATCAGAATAATTACAATTTAGCAAATTTTACAGGTATTGAAATAAAATTTGGATCTGGTAGTAGCAGAGTGTTGTCCCCAACACTTACGCAGAGGACAGACTGCCAGTTATGTCTTTTAGTGAAACATCTCATGAACCAATGGACAGAACTTTATTGAAATAAAAATCAATTTACAGCTAACCCAATTCAAGATGGACAATCACAAAATGCCTACGACACAGTGAAATTTACAGTTATTGAGCTTATTTTGGCGTGGTGCTCATCACGTACCGTGCAGTCAACACTGGTACTTCAGGACCAGGATCCTGCACATTTTTAGTCATTTCCCTGCTTTCAGCAGGTCTTAAAGTTCTGCAGAAGCATGTTAATCCCTCATTAATTCAAATCAGGAGTGTCAAAGCAAGAAAACATTGTAAAAAAAATCCAGGATAGTGGCCCTCGAGGACCCGGACGGGACACCACTGCATTATTGGAAACTTAAACTCTGATTTAAACTCGTCATATTCCATTTTGATTGATAGCCCTGAAATTATATTGCAGCAATTTTAACTAAAGCAATTAAATACACACAAAAACAGTTTTTTTGCTATTGTTTCAATGCAAATAAAACAAGAATAAAAAAAGCATTAACATTACCACCAGGTGGTGCCACTGTCAAACCAAGGAATTTCTGCTCGAATCAAACAAAAGTCATATGTCACAAGTGTTTCTTTGTTTACAAGATAAACATTTTTTGTTCAATATATCTTTTTACAGTATTTGCATTTATTCAGAATAACAGAATGGCACCGGCTGTTTAGCCAAGAAATCTCCAAAGGAAACATTTTTATTATCACAAATAAAGGAAGACATGGACTGAGCAAAAGAAAAATGCACAATTATGTTAAAAAACAAACAGAATATTTGGTTTAGGATTTTAAAAAAATGATATTTAAAACAAATAATGCATAAATGCAAGATTGTGGAATTAAGTTTCACCTGGAGCGGTGAAAAAGCAAGCTGCAACGAATAAATAGGAGCGAGATGAGGATCCTCAGATTATAAAATCCGTGTTTGCGCGTAGAATTATTTCCTGCCGCTCCAGAGCAGCGATGAGGTTCTGCAGAGGCGCGGTGTCCTCAGGATCCAGAAGTGCGTGCTGCTGGCAGAAGAGCGTGAAGTGCGTGAAAAGTGTGTTGAGGTGCGGGTGCAGGCCAAGCGCCAGCGTCTCACTGTAGTGAGACCAGTAAATGTGGGCCAGAGTCCTGAACAAGAGCAAGAAGACCTTCTGGACCACGAAGACGAAGCCTGTTGGGAACGCTGCACCTGAAGAGGGAGGAGAGGAAAGCTTGAACCTGGAACCAGACCAGGGGCCAGTCGTGATCGGGGGAGTTGTGGTTTACCTGCTTTTGTGGGGAACACGTCTTCGTCAGTCAGCAGGTCATGAATGTAGGACATGGCGTAGTCGACGTAAAGCGGAGCGGAGCACTTCAGCTTCCTACCGTGGTCGTCGATCCAGACGTAAACCCTGAAACAGCAAAGGCTTGATAAAGACAACAGTCTGAAGGAAACGAAAGTTATATTTAGATTTTTTTCCAGACAATATAATTATAAACGTTGTCTGTACCTCTGCAACTTATTTGAAGTGAATCCAATTAAAGATGGCATCAAAGCTAAAAAGTCTCTTCTTTTTTTTCTTGCACAAACCCTGTCATGTTTGTTTAATCTTTTTGTTTTCCACTTCTATGATCAGTGTTCTCCTCCCAGTGAGGTTTAAACTGAAACCATGGCAGAACGAGAAGTTTAGGTCAAAGGTTTTAAAACAAAATGTAGAACAAAGAATGAAAAGATCCAACTAAAGGATGAAAGGTGCCATGGCTTTGTTTCTGTTAAGTTTCAGTCAAGCTGTCACCCTGAACTTTGACCTTCTGCCATCTGACCTCCTTCCTGGTCCATTCACAGCTTCATCGGTTCTGTAAAAACCCTTTGTTTCACTCAGACCTCTGCTCCCCAAAATAGGAGGAGTTGTTGAAAACGGGAAGTAGCAAATCATTGTCCACAAATCCTGCCTTTGGAAGGGTTGAAATCACAGAACATCATAAAATATTACTAAACATGGAGTTCAGGCTGCAATATAGAATAAACAAATGTTTTGTTACCAAAAGAATATCTGTAAAAATGCCTCAGCTTACATTTCTTCTTGTTTAAAATACAGACTAATTTTTCCCAAAGTGGGGAAATAAAACAAAAAAAAGGAGATAACCAACTAGTTGTGTGAATGTTTATCAAGTTTTCACACCGATATGATTAATTTTTTTCTTATTTTTTCAATATGCAACTTGCTCTACAGTTTCTGTTCTATTTCAACAATTCATACATCAAAATGTTCAGCTCATTTATGCCATGAGTGCTATGATTTTTGATATTTCAGCAACTAGTACATTTTCAACTATTTGATGTTTTGGCCACTTTAAATCTTTTTTATCAACAAAATATTTATAAATCTTATCTTTTTTACCTTTTACTCTGGTTCTGCTTCTTTGTGCCAATTTCAGCCTCCTTCAGCTTCTTTTTTATGGCTAATTTTGGCTTTTTCTGCTATTTCAGCTGTCTTTCTGCTCTTTTGTAATATTCTTCTGCTAATTTCAACCTTTTTGTGATTCTTTTCGCTTTTGTATGCTAATTTAAACAGTTTTGTGCTTTTTAAGCAACATTTCCATCTGATTTTAGCTAATTTTTAGCTCTTTTCTAACATCACCTTTTCAGCTTCTTACTGCTTAATTCAGCAAACACATGCCCTTTCTGCTTCTTTGTGCTAATTTCAGCTACTTTTGGGTTGTGTGTGCTACTATTTTCAGCTCGTTTCAGCTTTTTTAGCTATTTTATCACAAATTTAAACTTTTCTTTGTACTTCTTTTCTCGTCTTTCTGCTAATGTGAGCTTTTTTGCTGTCCTTTTGCCGTCTGTCGGCTAAATCCAGCTTGTTTCTATTTTTAGCTACATTTCTCTCTGGTTAGCTTTTGACACATTTTTGCTATTTTTTAAACAGATTTTTCACCTTTTTTTCCCCTTTCAGTGAACATCAGGTGTTCAAACTGAACTCACACTAACAGTTTTGTTATTAAACATTTTCAGCTTCTTCTGCAGCTTTCTGACACTGCATTTTCTTTTTGTTCTCATTTTTACAAGACTGAGCCAAATACTGATGTACAGGTGAGATGCTATGAAAAAAAAGAGAATTATGGGTGAAGTTGTTTTATTTTAAAGCATGCTCTCTAACGTACGTGTTGCCCGGTCCACAGGCGGTTGGGCAGCTGCTGGGGGTGCAGAACTCGGACAGCGCGCTGGAGAACAAGTTTATGTGCTTGAAAAAGGCCACGGCTGAAAGAGATCAACAGGACAAGTGTTGCAGTGTCTGCAGTTTCTTTTCGTGTCTGGAAAGGGAAGATAAGAGAGCGGACAACAGCGTTAAAGGCAGACCATCTGTCAATCCTTACTGTTGCTGGCGAGCCACTCTGCCTTGTCGACGCCAGGCGGCAGTTTGGTGAGGAGAAACATGTCTGTGTTGGTGATCATCTGGCACACATTTTGCTGCTGCAGATACGGCAGCTCTTCCTGCTTGTTGTTATTGATTCCCCTTGGGAAGACAATTCAGAGTTAATGAAGCAGGAGCAGGAAGAGAGAAGCTATAAAAAGTGGAAAAATAACAAGCTAATGGATTAATTATTTCTGCTGCAATCCGTAGATTACACGCTGAATTATCTGCCTTCAACTTCAGTGGCCAGTAGAGAAAAATATATAAGCTCTGCAGGAACAGAAGGGCTGGATGTCCAATAAATCCAGCAGTGAATACAGGGAAGCTACTGAAGCAGACTGCTGCAGGGGTTCACTGGTGCAAAGGCCTGAAGGGACGTGTATCTTTCCTGCATCACTTCCCAGGCTGAGCCTCACTATCAGCAGCACGGGAAGGTGCGACGCTGGGAATGCTCCATGCAAACACCAACGTGAGCTGGAGAGGCAGACTTTGCAACATGATTTGACTTTATTTAAAACAGGAAGCTGCTCTGACAAAGAGCGCTTTAGTCGGTCTACAAGGCTATTTATACGAATCACCCTTTGCTGACGGTGAAGGCAGAACAATGTTTTTGTCCACGTCTGCGTTTTAGAAAAATCTCTAAAGTCACTGGATAAATTATAATAACTTTTCCAGAATAATTAATGGATTGACATCCAGACAGAGTTGTAAAGTGATTAAGTACAAATACGTTACTGTTCTTCAGTAGAATTTTTGGTGTCTGTACTTTACTTGAGTAATTATTTTTCAGCCTACTTTTTACTTCTGCTCCTTACATTTTTAAAAAAGGTAAGTAGTAGAAAGTTGTTACTTTTATTTCATTTTTGCTTGTTTTCATTCCAGATTATTTTTGTAAAAAATATCCATTTAAATTATGCCTCCTAGATAGAGTGAATTTAACTGTGGTTGAATGAGAAGTATAAATA